TTTGAAGTTAAAATTCTCCTGCTTCAGGCTCCCACAAAGTTGAATACCAGGTATGTGAAACTGCGACCCTTTTTCTTTTAGGTTAGTAATTAAACAGTGACAATTTTGAGCCTAGGCTGGGAAACTTAGCAAGACCTTGTCTCAAAAATACAAAACTAAGAAAAAGGACTGGGAATATAGTTCACTGTGAATGCCCTGGGTTTAGTTCTCAACACCACAAAGACAGACAACAAAATCCCCAAACCTAGTGATCTGTGATATATGAAGAAATGACTGAGCAGGGCATGGTGGCTCATACCTGTACTCCCAGCACTCAGGAGGCTGAGGGAGGAGGACTGCTGCAAGTTTGAGGAGCGCCTGGACTACTAAGTGAGTTCAAGGCCAGCCTGAACTGCACAGTGAGACCCTGTCTCAAAAAGACCCTTTGCACGTTGGGATTCTTGAACTAATTCTCTGGTTTTAAAATCTTTTATATTTTCTTTTGCTTTATCATTTTGTTCCCATATCTTCTGAACTTCAACTTTGAGGCATCTTGTTGATTTTCTAGGTTTTCCCACATTGCTCTGTTAATATTCTGTTGTAGAACCACCCTGTTTTTATTTCACTGATGCAATGTCATCTCTTAGTGGAATTGCCTTTTGATATCTGGTTCATTTTCCATGTTAGAGAATTTGCTCAACTAATCCTCCCCTTTTTCCTCCGCTGTGCCTGGTGCTCCTGAATGAAGAGCAATGGCTCACCCCCTCCGGGGAGAAAGCTCTGGCTCCTGCTAAGGTGAGGAGTGTCTGCTGCAGGCTACACTGGAACAGTGTACTTGTGAATTTGCTGTAGAAAAGGCTTTTACATAGGTTCTTCAATGATTTTTCCAATTTTCTTACTATCAGGTCTGCCATAAACCTTTTCACAGGCACAACTTTTGAAGCTTTTTGCTTTAGAAGTTTTGTGATATGATTTGCTTTATTTTTAAAAATTTCTTTACCTGTCTCTTCTCTACCATCATAGATATAGAATGTCCAGCTTTTCCATTTTTTTCCAGAATAAGTCACTCTTTTTTTTTGTATCAGGACTCAAACTCAGGACCTTGTACTTGCCAGGCAGGCATCTATGCTGCTGAGCTATATCTCTGGCCTGAAAAAGTCATTCTTCGCCCATCTATCTGCTTCTCGTTCATCTTCTAAAATTTTACTGGCACACTTTATCCAGCGTGGTCTTCTCTTTGATTTCATTACTTTTGTGAATTTTAATTTATTTTTGGTAGGATTTTAATAAAAGAAAGGGCTTAAAATACTTATATTAAGCTTTGTGTCATATTTAAATAAAGCTGAGCCAAAAACATACTGAGTGTTGACCACTGAAATCTCACGCTGAGTGTTGGATACAAACATGGAAACCAAACATAACATCCTGGTTTTGTTTGTTTGAGGATGGAGCAATGAAGTTAGTATTAACCAAGATGAGGACAAAAGAAACAGAACAAAGTCAAGAATGTGATTTGGAACTGAATGAGGAGACAATACTTTTGTTATTCTCTTACTAATTTGTTATGAAATTTTATTTTTTCATACAAGAAAAAAAGAATGTGGTTTGAGATGTGTCAGCCATCCAGGGAAAAATACCATGTGGAGACTGGGTAGTCTTTTTATTTCAGACTGTTTCCTAATTCACTGTCCCCTCCTGAGTATTTGATAATACACCTGTCTCAGTTCTTGGAATTCTTTCCATTACATTTGTCTTCACTTCTTACATGACCAGTGATTCAGGGAGGAAAGTGTCTTGGAAGCAAAATGAAAACTTGTCAAGGAAAGAGTTGCCCATCTGTGTGAAAATGTTGGCTACAGTGTGCTTAAGAGGACAACTGAGAAGTGATCCCCAGGTCTAGGAATGCAGAACATTAGGGACTGAACCTGTGTCCCCAAAGGGATATGCTGGAGTCCTAACACCTAGACTATGATCTCATCTGGAGATTGCATTTTTATAAATGTAACTGAGTTGAAATGAGGTTGGCGAGCGGGCCCTAATACAATACAACTACTGTTCTGAGGAAAAGGGAAATATCTCTACAGGAAGTGGTAAACACACAGGCGAAATGCATGTGAACACCAGCATTAAGATTGTTGCCTTAAGCCAAGGAACGACCCCAAAGTAAAAGAAAGGCCTTCCCTCGCCCCTGCAGGGGAACATTCCTCAACTGTGAAATTCTAGCTTCTAGAACTACAAGGAAATAATCTTGCTGAGTTAGCAGTCCCGTCACAGTACTCCGTCACTGCAGCCTTGTAAACACTGAGGATCCAGAGAAGAGAAGCCATAACGGACTCTTCAAATGGAAGCCAGATATAGCAACAGGGGAAGCTGGCGTGCGCACAGTCATGCCTTCGGAGGAGCATTTCTATGAAGGAAAGGAGAGAAATAGGACAGAAGCAAATGCCCTGAAAATGTTTTTTTTTAATTGGAGAAATGGTGGTATGCTAAACGGAATGATTCACTAGAGAAGGAAACCCGGATCTTGCAGGAAATGAGGCAGCATCTCTACAGCAATGGCTTGATTCACACTCTCTTCATCTCCTCCTATTCTCCCTTAAGTAGAAAGCAAAGTGCTCAAGTAAGAGTAAGGAAGGAGTGTCAGGAGTCCGTAGAGGAAAGAAAGAACAATCAGACAGAGAGGAAACTTGTTACATATCTGTGTGTCATTGAAGCCGCTTCTGTAGGCCATTATTTAGAATTTTCTGGTCAATATTTATAATAGGAAATGGTCTATAATGGGGGGGGGGTTATGCAGATAATAACTACCATTACTGAATGAGTTCTTATACTACTGAGTAAAGCACCTTACGTAATTATCTCATTCACTCTTCATAGCAACAAGAAAATGACATATTGTACCCACTGTGTAGGTAAGGAAATGGCCAAAATTGTAAAGATAATAAGTAGAATGGCAACCAAAATTAATGCTTTTAATAAGCAATTTATTCTAACTTTATATGAATGAGCTTTTCCTACCCCCAATGTTTTTCAAGAGGTTATATAAAAATGGAAATTGTATTTTCTTTGAAAAGCACAAAGATCTTACCAGGAGAAAATACCAATTATAAAAGTGCAAGGTTTAAGGTGAAGAAGTAGGGGGTAACAGCTTGTTAATGGAATAAATAGCTTTCCACACTTATGTGGCTATTTGTACTTAGGCTGTAAAGCCTTAAATGTAATGGGTATTCTTAGAAACATGGGACTTATTACTCTGCCAACTTTGAACCTCATTTCACTGTATTCCATGTATCTTCTATTGTTCTGCCTTTTGATATGCCATGAAACTTCCATTCCACAGCCACTGCTCAGGGTAGGCGGGTACCATTCTAGTCTAGATGACTGTCATACATGTCTGTTGGTCCTTCTTTAGTTTCTTTTTGGTGACACTTGTGCAGACTCTGTACACAGCAGCCAGAGGTATCTATTTCCAAAATGTTCTGCATATTTATGTTTACAACACAACGCTGTTCAACATAGGAAATGTTGGATATTCAGCTGTCTAAATAATGCCCAGTATTTAGCTACAAATGAGAACATAACTGATGATAAATAAACACTCAGATGTGGTGTTGCACACCTGTAATCCCATGCTGAGAGGCTGAGGCAGTAGGATTGCAAGTTCTAACCCATCCCTAGTGGAATGGTGGGACCTGAAGTCCTGGGGCAGAGACTGTCTTCACAGGACCCTGTCTAAAAATAAAGGCTGGCGATGTAGCCCTGAGTTTTGTTCTTAGTACTGCAAAAATCAATAAACAGCAAAATGAAAACCATTCAAACACAACACTGGATCCTATGAATAGGTATTAATGCAAGTGGTTTTCGATTTGCTTATGCTGATCTTTGTCCTTTATATGCCTCCAATGGGATGCATTCTCCCACACTACTATTCCCACCAGAAAAACAAAAATGTAATCCATAGAATCATTAATTCCAGTGCTTTCAGAACGAATTCACCAGTTGCATTTTTCTAGAGCTTTTTCTAACAAAATGAGGAATGAGATAATGTAATTTGCTGTTCTTAGTCGTCTTTTCCCTTTAGGGGGTACCATGTGAGTGTCCGATATTAAATGTTCAATAAATATCTGTTGAACAATATTAAATAAATACAATATTGGATACTTTGGAGAAAAATTTAACACTTTTGAGCAATAAACTAGATGTTTTGATAGAATGTGTCCATATTTAAATCTTGTGATTTAATCGTTTCTTTTTTTTTAATTTTTAATTTTTAAAAATTTTATTTTAAAAAGAGAAAAGTCAGAAAGGAAAAACAAAAAGCAAAAGACACAAACAACACCAGCAAATTCAAAATAATAATATAGGTTTTCAAAACAGAATGAAAGAAATTTAACAATGGTTGTTACATTGCATATTGTTCTCTTTTTTTTTTCAAAGAAAGAAAAGAAAATTAAAGAAAATAAAAAAACAGAAAAAAGGGGTAGAACAATGCCGAATTCAAAAAAAATTTAACATCATAGAATTACTAGTTGATACATTACTCACTGTTGTCTTAAAAAAATAGTTGCCAAAGTCACAAAATCAAAACATAAATAGTGGCTAGACATTCAAATACTGACAATGCAAATCCTTCTGTTCAGTGTTACAACAGATACTCAGTAACACAGTCATCTATCTTACACACTATACATACCATTATACTTTTTTAGAGCACTTTCCTTCCCTTTCACAATCTCTATTATACATTTTAGATCCCATGATTCTATCAGTTTTTATTATTTTTTACATTAGAGAGACAATGTGATATTTACTAATGTGAGTCTTTTCTGTTTCACTAGTGAGGATATTTTCAAGTTGCTTCTATTTACCTATCAAGGCCTCAAGATCAACCTTTTTTATAGCTGAGTAAGTCAAGTGATTTTCTTAAAATACGACTTTTAAGCTCTGTAAAGTACTAATGGCAGCTGATTTACAGTGCTTTCTATTGGTTGTGTATTCCTATCAATTTTCTCCAGGTTTACCTTGTAGCATGACCAAAGACTGTCGCAGCCGGCTGTTTTCCTTCCGAGTGTTCGTTAATTTTTCTTTCAGACTTTTTATCTTGGCACACAACTCCTCCTTTGACAGCTCTGCCAAGGGCGTCTCATCCTCACTGGAGCTCTCGCCAGGCAGAAAGGCGTTTCCTGAGTATGGGTCTCTCTGAAACATGGCAAGCAAAAGGAAGGATAGGTCACAGCGCCACATGTGGTTTCTCCCAAGCTCTGTGCACCCAGGAGGCTTCATCAAGCCTGAAGTCCCTGTTCCTGCCAGCCCTTTTTGCTATGCAGCCAGCGTTGCTAGTTCCCAGAGCACCCATGAATTGGGAAAAACTGAGAATTTCAGATGTCATCAGGAGAATGTCTATTTTAATAATTTAAACTCTAAATATATGACGTCTCCTGCAGTTGTGTAACTTAATAAAATACTGTGTATTAATAAAGCCTGAGAAGGTGTGGGGCATTTTGGAAGCATCTTAGGGACTTTGGTGCTTTAGCAAGAACAAAACAGAGTACGGGAGTGCACGTGCCAGAGATAGTTACAGGGCGGCAACCAATCAACAGCAATAGAATTAAATCTTGCTCTCGGATTGGCTACTTGCATACCTCCTGCCAAAAAAACAATCTCGGAAAATATTTGCAGTTTCTATGGAACTACAGGGGTCTCTGGACAATTGTTAGGGTCTAACAAAAAATCTGCGAAGGACAGAGGCCACCTTGACCGTGATTTCAACTTCACAGGGCCTGTGTGTTTCTGTATACTGTATTAGCATAACAGAGCAGAATAAACAAGACTGCCATTTAAATCTAGGGTGCTGTGAAATGCACTTTGTCTTAAGTCAAATGCTTCAAAATTTGAACCTTACTGCCTTTATCTGTTAAGTTATATATAAATATCATGCAATAAAATAGGAAATCTGAACAAGATAATGTTGTCTTGGTTGCTTTTATTGCTGAGACAAAATACCTGATGCCCAAAATCAGGGAAGGAAAGGTTTATTTCTTAAAATTCTTGGAGGTTTCAGTCTATACTCAGCTAGCTGCAAGGCAGGTTGGCATGGCTTGGGGGGCATTCATGGGGGCGGGAAAGGGAAAAAAGGGTACAGTGCAAAAGAGAGAGACAAACCTTCTTGCTGCCTTTACATTGTATGCTGGCTCCACCCCTGCGCAGGTGCAGCACTCATTCCACCAATTCCAGTGCTAGACAATGAACCAATCACAAATGCTAGATTTGGTTGCATCCATGATTGCATGAGGCTTGGTGGTGAGGGCACTGACATAAACCATGACAGGCAGGAAGTACAAAATTCATTGCTTCCGTATACCAACTACAATTAGTGGCCACTGTTCAAAAGCACATCATGTATTAAGTCAGAAAAGTAGTTACCTGCACGAACAAGTACAGGATGGAAGTCACAATGGTGCAGCAGGGCATCTTATGGGATGTCAGTGGTCTAATTTCTGATGTGGATGGGTAGCATTTGTAATAACTTATCCAACTGGACATTCTTGATCTGTGTATTGTTTGGCATGTATACTTCCATAAAATATTTCTTTAAAAATCTCTAAGAAATAATTTTTATATCACTTCTTGATAGTTTCCAACCCCTTGAGCTTACATATTGTATATTTATGCTCAAATACTGCTCTGAGAACAGATGTCATTAAAGCACAACAAAAGATGTGCAAGACAGGAAGAAAATAAAAAAGCTCTACTGAAAAATGATTATGGATTGGGACATAGCTCAGCAATAGAACACTTGACAAGTATGTGTGTGAGTCCCTGGTTCAGTCTCCAGCACTGTTATCTAGAAAAACATCATGTTCAAAAATAAAAAAGCTATAATATAAATATACTAATTATTCTCAATATGAGGTATAGAGTTAATATAATTCTGACAAAAATCTGAAAGTATTGGAACTTAATTTCATTTTAAAATTTAGATGAGTGATCAGAAGGTGAAGAATATCCAAAGAACTCCTGAGGAAGTATAATTAAGTTTTTCTTTACAGGTACAAGGGCTTATTGAAAATCTGCCACAATTAATAGGATATGAATAGGTAAAGGGATAGACAGCACAGGTAAGTGATAGAATAGAAAGGCCAAAAATAGACACAGGAATACAAAAAATTCTGGTTATGACAGAGCAGCATGGGGACTTTTGGTGAGGTGGGATCTGTTCTACAAATGAAGCTGGGAAAGCTGATAAAACACTTTGGAAAAAGATAAAGACAATGGACCCTGATGGATCAAGAATTTAAACATCAAAAGTAAACCTTTAAGTTGTTTAACAAAATAAAAGTAGATATGTTTTGACTGACAGATTTTAAAAAAGATTAATACATAAAGTTAAGAACTTTGTTTATTAATGAACATTTAAAGAAATGGAAAAGACATTGAACCAATGGAAGATGCGTACTTGCTTTGTTAAATAATAAAGGTGTGTGTGTATCTCTTCTCCCCTACAAATCAATAAGGAACAATAACCTGGAACTTCAACAAAAAATGAGCAAATGACAGGAAGAACTATTTTACAGAATTGTACATACACAGGCAATAAGTATACAAAAAAATGCTCAGCCTCTTTAGCAGTTAAAGAAAACATAAAGTTTGGGGCAAAGTATCATTTGGGGAGAAATGATGGAGTTTCATAAACCCATGCATAGGGTAGGCATCAGCCCCTGGAGTTTCCTATGTATTGCTGGTAGAACAAGAATTGGTATACTACTTTGGAAAACATTTTGACATTACCTTGTAAAGATTATCACTCATGAGTTTGACCTATAAGTAAAATAAACTTTTAGTATATATACAAGGAATTATATCCAAGAACTTTTCTTAAAATTTTTCTTTTAAAGAGAATAAAACCAAACTAAACAAAACACAATAAAGCATCAGAAGAGAACAATGTAAGCAACACAGGATTTCAAAACAAGACAACAGGAAAACAGCAATGGCTACCATAATGTCTCTTGTTTCCTTCAAAATACGTGTCTACACCATCACACACAATAAAATCAAACAAAACAAAACAGAACAAAACTAATCAAAGCAAAAGAATGAAAACATTACAGACTTCAAAACAAGATAACAGGAAAATAAACAATGGCTTACATAGCATAACATAACACAGTTATTTTTCAAAACAGCTATCCATACCATGACACATAATAAAATCAAATAAAACAACACATAATGAAAATAAAAGAATGAAAGCATTATAGGACTTCAAAACCAGATAATATGAAATTAACAGTGGTTACCATAATACATCTTGTTATCTTCAAAATAGCTGCCTATACCATCACAGTAAAATCTAACAAAACAAAACGCAATAAAATCAAACCTAACAAAATTATGAAAATATAAGAATTCAAAACAAGATAACAGGAAATTAACAGTGGTTACCACTTTCCCTTTTAAGTCATTTCCTCCCCTATCACATTCATAGTATCTATTGTGCTTTTTGGATCCCACTAACTCCTTCAGCTTGTTATGCTAGGGAGACAACTCAGTGGGCACCCGTTGTGTCAATTTACTTACAGGAGCCTTGAGATTATCCTACTTTATAGTTGGGTAGCTTTCCATTGTATGAAAATACCATATTTTTTTTATCCATTTGGCAGTTCATGAGCAAGTTACCTTTGCTTTTTGGGAGGGTCTTCTATCATGTGAAACAATTTGATTTTTAGTCTATAAAATTCGAGTTAAATGTGTTTCTTGTATATAGTATATTGATGGATCTTGTTTCTTGATCCATTTTCCCTGTGGTTCTTTTTATTGCTGACCTGAGGCCATCTACATTAATGGTTACAACCAGCATACATTGGCTTGTCTCTGCCCTGCTATCCTCCGGTTGTTGGCCCTCCACTTTTCCCTTCATTCAATTGCCTGTCTAGCTTGGTAATCCTTCTCTGCTGCTGAAGCTGGAACCACGGTCATCTTTATCTCTCTCTAGAATATCCTTCAGCACTCTAGAGTTGGTTTAGTGGTTATGAATTTCTTCGGTTGTTCTTTATCATGGAAGTATCTTATTTTTCCATCAATTTTGAAAGAGTACATCAATGTGGGTTGGAAGTTGTTTTCTTTGAGGATTTGAAACACTTCACTCTAGACTCTTGTTAACTTGATGGTTTGTGTTGACAAGTCTACTATGATTTGGGTTGGTTTCCTTTACGGGTGATTTGCTTCTTTGTCTCTTACAGATTTTATATTCTGTTCTTGTGCTGAATGTCTGGAATCTTGATTATTATATGTCTGGCTATTGCTAGTTGGAGTTCTATATTATTCCCTATTTCTCTTAAATTATTTTTCTTTGCATTGTCTTACAGCCATTGAATTGCTATTTCCTGGTTCCTCATTATTTTTAAAAGATCTTTCCTTTCACAATCACTAGCTGCAATCCTGTCTTCAGGTCTGGAAGTCTATCTTCAGTCTCTTTCAAGCAGTTTTGCCAGCTTTCAATCGACTTTTTAATTTCCTGGAAATCTTTTTGAATCTGTTTCATACATTGTAATTCCTTTCTATATTGTTCATTCAAGTTTTCCAGCATTTTCCTATGCTTTTCTCTTTTTTATCCATGTCTTCTTTAGATATGCTGAGCAATTCTTTTATTATGTTTTTCATTTCTTATTTTACCTGAGCATTATTTCTGATCTGATTACTTTTACAATCTCATGAAGTTGTTTTCTTTTTTACTTCAGTTGCTATCCTCTTAGAGATTTCAGGTGTGTGACTTCCATTTTCTTCCATGACTGTATCTCCCAGACTTATTCTGTGAGGGCTGTGGGCTGGAGGTCTAAGATTGCCCTTTGCTCCTTTGTCTTGACATTCTCCTGGGTTCTTCCCAATAAGCAGGTTGTGGGGCACCTTTCTCACATTGGCTGCCCCTCTGCGTGTAGGGGAATGGGCCAGGCACCTGGGTTCCTCTGACCCCAGGTTTTCAGGGAGGTAGCAGGGCATGGGGTGGGCTTCTCCAGACCTGTGTAATTACACTGGAGCTTTCCCAATGACCAGTGGTGTGTGGTGATGGGGCTGATTCTCTCAGCCTGCATGTCTACACTGGGACTCCCATAATGATGACAAGCACATATGGGTGTGTTTGTCTGATCCTCCCAGTGGGTGGTGGTTGTCGGAAGGAACAAAGGATCTCCAATGGTGGC